CTCTCCCTTGGTGCAAACAGGCTCCTCTCTGGCTTGGCTGGCAACCAGACCCAAGGAGAACAACGGCCGGCCGGCCGAGGCCACCAGCCCACCAGAGAGAGGAGAGACCCCTCCCAGAAGCACAGCCACAACTGGGGTGGTGGTGGTGGTGGGCCCAGGGAGGGAGAGAGGCCGAAATCCCTTGGAAGTCATTGGCAGCAGGTGATTCCTTTCCTGGGGGAGGAAAAGGAGCATCCAAAGAGCCTGGAAGCAGGATCGCACCAAAGACCCCCCGAGAGCAGCCCCCGGGTCCACTAGGGCTGGTCGCAGCCTCTACACAGCCCCCCCCAAGGGCCGCCCATGGTGTCCCAATGACCACCGGAGACCTGCAGAGCTGGAAGGGACCCTCCGGATCATCGGGTCCAGCCCCTGTCAAGGAGGCCCAGCAAGGAACTGAACTCTCATCTCAACCTTTGGCTCCGCAGCCGGAGGAGACCTCAACCCCTGAGCTATCCAGCAGTGCAGCCGGAGGAGGCCTCAACCCCTGAGCTATCCAGCAGTTCATCCACATCCTGTGACAGGGAGTTCCACTGGCAGTTAAGGGCTCGCTTCCCTCCTTGGGCCTCTAAGCCAAGGCATCTTCACCAGCCACCTGCTTCCCCTGGGGCAGCCCCCCACCTGGACCTCATACCACTCCTGCCTCTTAGCTAGCAACAGACTGGGTGGTACCTACTTGGCAAGGAGAGGGTGGCATATTAGACACGGCTGGAAGAGAAGGGGCGGCAACAACGACGGAGGCCGGAGGAGGGCGGACAGGCAGGCAGGAGAAGGGAAGGCATCTTCACCAGCCACCTGCTTCCCCTGGGGCAGCCCCCCACCTGGACCTCATACCACTCCTGCCTCTTAGCTAGCAACAGACTGGGTGGTACCTACTTGGCAAGGAGAGGGTGGCATATTAGACACGGCTGGAAGAGAAGGGGCGGCAACAACGACGGAGGCCGGAGGAGGGCGGACAGGCAGGCAGGAGAAGGGGAGGCCAGTCCAGTC